TCGATCTGTTACCCGTCGTGCATTAACTACCCTTACTTAGCAGTGGAGCATGTGGCATTACCAAACGCCCAGCCTTGACTCAACAACTACATGAATGCATATATCCATTGTTCTCTGGTTTCATTTACCATCGTATTTCCTGTCAGCTGGGGGTGAAAACTGAATCCATAATTCCTTTTTCAATCCAGTTTGAAGTCCCAGTTGGCTCACTTTGGCTTGTGAGCGTCATTCTCTGTAAATAGCTTTGACTGATTTCCACTCGAGATGTGGAGGTGGAACCAACACTTTACACATCAATAAATGGCACAAAACGCAATTCCTTGATAGACGGCATTTTAGTAACCGTACAAAAATGCATTGAAGACGCAGAAACTAGACATGTTTACACAGAATGGGACAGCGTAAAAGTCGCACGGTAACATCGTGGAGTGACTTTTGACCTCGTACAGATTTTAAGTAGGAACTGTTCAAGAACCCAATCCTCCAAGTGATTCATTAAAAAATACGTCTCAGCATCCCACACAGAAAGAAGAAGATTTAGTTTTTCTGCCTGAAGTCAACCACTTGCAAATTACTACTGCCTAAACGGCCAGACTGTAATGGATTGAGGGTTACCAACATCACAAATGATCGCGCAACGTACAACAAAGGCTCAAAGGGACAGGGTCAACTACCAAACATGCGTGCAGAACACTGGCGGGGGAATCATAGGGCATTCTAGTCACTAATGTAAAAAGAGCGTAACCTTTCAGTCAGTATAGAGTCATAATAGCTTAGAGCTTCAATGCACTAACTCCGAGGTGACTAAATCACAGGCCCACAAATTTCGAACCAAATTCCATCCGGTAAATGAGACGTTCGAACACCATCCAGATGCCCGAATTTCACAACGGCTAGGTCGGGCAGGGGTCGAGGGGGCTCCGATCCTCGGCAGTATTCAGGACTTGGTAGGGATCTCGTGACAATAAAAAAGGCGCGCGCTTCTCCAGTTACTCTTTTCCAGAGGGTCGGTAAACTTCGGACTGGAAACCAGCGGTAGTCATTCAAGTACATGAAGGTGAGAATCAGCCAATTGTTTCTAATGATAGATCTCGATATCTTTCGTTGTAGAGGTCAGTACTAAGTGACTCGTTTCGCGATTATTTACTTGGGAACTCATTCCTGACTGACTGTCATCATTTGTTTTTACTTTAGAGATCATGTAGCACCATCTTGTTGATGGTATGTAATGGCTGGGCTCTATCTGCTAAACGGAGAAAGCCTACTCATGTCAAGTCGCTTGTCGTCTCCGACGCCTTTGACAGGGTTAACCCAGATATGCTAAATAGGCAGCTTCAGCTTATAAGCATACATGCTAATATACATGAAAGGTAGCTCATTTGATTTTCCTTAAGACTCAACTGCGGTCGCTTAATATCAGCTCCCCCTCCCTTCATCAGTCTAGTCCCAGATGCTATGTGGTTTGCATTGGGGTTCCCTTTTTGTCCCTTTCGGCTCTCATAAATGACTTCAAAGCGACGCGGGGTTCCCACTGACTGTAACATGCTACTGATCTGAAGATTTGGGGGAAATTACTGGAATCTATGAGTTAGTTTCTTCCAAGATAACCCACGCAAACTTTTAAACCTAACAAGTGAAATCCCACCAGCCCTGCTGCTTTCAGAAGGGGGTTAGACACCCATTGTACAGATGGGTTGTGCTCGGTAAGTTTTCTGGTGTATTACAAGACTTGGTTGGTAGCATTACCAGGAGAAGGATAAATACTTGATAACTGAGTATCACTGTTTCTTCGGGTGTGTCGGGGGCAGGAAAGTATCTATGACTATCTCAAACAAAAAACGTAGTCAGTTACCGCAGATGTAGAGCCCAACGAACCATCGTTTGCTCTTTACACTGCTTGAAGTTTGAAAACTTGGCTGATGGATTTTGGTCAGTGCCAAGGAGCAAGGGTCAGGCAGATACACTCGCCGCCCACCGGTGAACATTTTTTATGCACAATCCAGTGGCAGCCCTGACTGTTTGGTGATTTCATCATTGAATGACACAAGCTTATTCGACTGTAGTTCTGGAAATTAAGTGGCAGGCCCATGGGATTTTGCTTAACACCTGTAGTTTTGAGGTGGCTTCTTGTAAAACTGGGTCGAGTGAGATATAGGTTCTTGTAGGTAATGAAACTTTGACCACGTTTTCAATTTCATCTGCAAACGTCTCCAGCATATGGGGAGTTTCTTCAACCAGTCCCATGTCATTTTAGCCAAATCGATATTGTCAGTCTTCCCTTCAGTTGATGGCAGCGGGCCAGTCAGAACTTGGGAGTGGAACAAGGGCTCACACTGTTGGACAGGTTAGCAAAAAATGCTTATCTAGCCCTTAGCTACCAAGCGTTTTGTCTGACGAGCAAAGTAAAGTCATTCTGAAGTTTCATGGAAGCGTTTAGAAACGAGCATATGTTTCCCAACCGATTAGCAACGCGTTTTCCCGGTCAGTAATTGTGGCTAAATATTACTTTAGACGATTGAGAGGTATTTGACTTAAAGTATGAATGCTGTACTCCAGTAAGGCACCTGATTTTCTGTTCTATTTCATACACTAAAGCCTTGAAAATGCGTTATTGGTGCCAAGTTGCAAGACTGGATAAAGAAATACATCAGTGAAAGATAGAAACAGCCGCGCATCACTTCTCACATGGTAACCACACATGATTGGTGTGGGACCGTGTACAGTCACAAATCATAACTGGTATCCACACAATGAGCAAGGTTACCTGTTTCATTCCTTTCAGAAGACATCTTATTTAATAATATCTTAGGCTCAGTATGATAGGTGGCCGCCACAAGACTCTAGCACCCTGATGAAGTGACTTTTCCCTTTTTCGCCCTAGGCCAGTAGTGGCAATAAATTAGTCAAACCGGACCGGAGTGACCACAGCAAATTCCTATTGTCGCGCTTTATTGCCCAGTTTTTCTTAGAAAGTGGTCAAATGAAGATTACATTGTAGTAAAGTGTAAAGCAGATGGTGGAAAGGCAGTGTATCGCTTCATTTTCCTCACCAAGCTAACCTGAGGTTGGCTGGACTCGTTATGTACTTTGTACTGGACCCATATTAGATATGGTTGACAATGTGGGGGGCAGGGATCGAAATCAAGTTTGAGGCATAACGTCAGTATTCTCTAATTAGTTATGAGGACGAGGGAATGACAGTTGTAATGTGTGGAACTTGATTAATTATGACTTCTCAGTTTTGGAAATTTCATGATGACATTTTTAACCAGAACTGTGATTTGGGTGCCACTAACTCAGGAACTCATGGGACAATACAAAATCAGAAGACCCTTTAAACGTGATTTCACCAACCGTATCGAGACGTATGCTTCATACACTGCATGATCAAGCAGCACAACCATGCCAGAACATGTCACTTCGGTATCTACTGAATTCGACTGCAAAGAGAAATTACATCCAAACAGTGCTGATAGTGAGCGAACTCATTCATTTTGTTTTCTTGACTTTCCCTTGCATGTGTTTTTTTAGCGCTAGTGAATAGTAACCTCCAGCCAACACTTAAACGGCTTAATTCTTCGCGGAGTCCGTTAAAATCACCCTTTTGAAAGTATGATATCATCATTCCAGTCTAAAAGACTGGCTGCAGGCATTTGGTGGCTGAATAGAGCTCTTTTTACCGGACTCCTGTGGTTTTTCAGGTTTAGGGAAATATCCGTGGGATCATCCCTTTTTGTGCCAACTGCTGGCAGCCATAAGCTGTGGGATAGCTTGATGCTGAAACCTCAGGTTAAAAATCTCGTCGCCGCAAATTATGCCTGAACTTATATTCACAGCATAAATTCAGAAACACTTTCAACGCGGTCGCTAATCTGGGCCTCAAACAGAAACTGGAAAGCCCTGCTACTGATGGTGTGACTTATGACTGTGTCAGGAACACTATTTATGGCCAAAGGCAGGACGTATTAGCAAATGGGGTCTTGCCCTCGTATAAGCCGGTGAAAAGTGGACTGCTTTAGGGAGTTATGTTGGGTTCTACTCCATGTGAATGAGCTACTCAGAAAAGCCAGGCCTTCGCTCCTAAGATTTGCTGTGGAAGTCTGTACACAGCTACGGGGATAGATAGCTCCCGCATGATGACTCAAATGCTGTGGTAGATAAATCAATGAGACGATATTTAGAAATTAACATCATCTGTAGTATCCTCGTGTAAATAAGCCACAACAATCCATGTAGCTGCCTAACCGGCTGCAGGGCGTTGATCAAGGTACCTGAATACAAGAACTTGGGAATCGTAGTTAGTCATGGCCTTAAAACTTCAGTTGGTCGCAAAATAGCAGTTGCCAAAGATCTTTGAATCTTTGGAATTTCGCACCAGGCCTTTCGAGACTTGGATGAGAGCATATTTGCCACTCCGCACCCAGCACACAACTGATTTCATTTGGAGTGTGAGATATAGACCGTAAGACTGTGTTTCAAATATGAAACTGATATGCAAGCCAGCGAGTCAAGAGGGAGAAAGCTAGGATTAGTGAAGGCCTTCCAAACCTTTTTTACAAAGGACGACTGTGACATTATTCACTCTTTTTGTCGTAAGATGTCAAGAGATCTTACACCTGCATACTACATCATAAATAATGATTTATGGGCTAACTTTTCCAATTTTTTCTTGTCTGGAAATGCTCACCTTAGTGGACTTTAGAATAGTCCATAGACCGTAGATGAACTGATGAATCGCATGGTTATAAAGATCTGATATCTGAAGTACTATCCACGCTTTCCGCTGGCACAGTAAAAGCAACATTAGAGCACCACAGTACTACCACACACGATTGTCTGTATGAACCAATAGAACAGTGTCCTTATTCCTGAAGACTCTATTTCAGCCGAAGAGCAATGGGTGTGATTTTTAATGCAGTAAATAAAGTGGTTCGTCGTGAAACTAGGGTTATGATGTTTTGGAAGTGAGATAGGTTATGCAGTGTTATTTTACTGAACTCAGTGGTGGGCTGGTTGTCTGATCAACACGGTACTTTCTCGTGGGCTTTCCAAATTTTAGATATGGTTCATCTGGATGTCTGCATTCCGGTTGAAGTGGAAGGAAAATATGGGGAGTTTTACCCAGTACGTGCACTATACGTTGATTATTTTTTTCTAGGGTGTCATAAGTGGATTAAAATCTGTAGAGCAACTCAATGTAACTTTGCTAGATTCTACCCACTCAAAGGGACTAGTGGAATTTACCCTTCCTCCTTCTTCTCTGCGGCTCCCACCTAAAGAATCAGCGACAGTTTTAGAGCCGGTTCAAGGGCAAGAAGTTGATGTATTGATAAGTTCATCACCAGGTGAGCCTTTGGCAGACGAGTCATCAGGTGACGTTGCTTCCAAGCTTTCTGCTTGGTGGCCTGGTGTTGTACGGAAAGTTGGTGGAAGTTTCGTCATTGTGGAATTAATGGCTGATTTTTCCGCCCAAAGTGCCATTTCAAGTGAAGTATCTGTTCTTCCCAACAATCGCATTAGCGTTCCACACTCATCGTCCCTGGAGAAAACTGATATTGTTGAGAAGCATCAGCTAAGACCACGGAGCCACCATCATAACCTCACTGCATCGTCTTTCCATATGCACGCTATTGACATTCCGGATGAGCTAGCTCCATAGTAAGTTCAGGCCATAATTAACATTTTTATTTAGTATTCCTGGTTAATACTTTTATTTTCCTGTTCCTTTTAGTTGCAAGGAGCCTGCTAACTACCATCATTTTGCCCGGAGATGTGGCTTACCTGTTCTAATTACTCTAGCACCAGACACCCTCAAACCTCCATCCCCAGTTATTAAAGGGGATAATGAAACCTACAACTTGATGGCTCGCTTGTTAGTTATATCTACGGATGTTTCCACAGTTAACAGAGCATCAGTTATCGACAACACATTCGTGGATATGCTGAGACAAAAAGTGTCTATTTTGCAACAAACTGAAGAACTGTCGAAGAAGTTAGTGGCATCGCGTATTAACCAGGTATACTCTTTATATTCTCACCAATTTTGTAGCAATCACCAATTATTGAAGAGTTTCGCATACCAACGGACTTAATTCTCTACGCGATTGGTGCACAGGGTTCCAATATCAAACGTGCCAGTGCAATCGATGGTGTACTTACTGTGAAACTTGATCGTCAAACTGGTAATATTCGAATTTCCGGAAAGGTTAGTTTACTAAATGTAAATGTTTATTGTAGTTACCTATGTATGGACACACTTGCAGGTTCACCATTATTGTTGAGATCAGTTATTTCAGGCGAGACGATGTTAGCTTTATTGTCCGCATAAATATAACCCGCTGGTTGCCTTCGGCTGCTAAATATTTAGTTGGTCTTTATGTGTAATGCAAGGTTGCTTCTCGGTTTGGTTTCTCAATGACTTTGAAGTAGTTAGATTAACGGCTGAAAAGTAAACAATGGATTTCTAGAGTCAGAAGTTGAGTAGTATGCCAGTTTCTGTTGGTAAAGTTACCTTCTGTGAACTTGAAGTTTGGTAAGGTTGTTTTATAACTGCCATCCCATAAAGATACAAAAATAATTTAAAATTCAACAATGATTATCATGCCTTTTTTTGGGGAAAAACCCAGGTTTCGTTCAACTCCATCCCGTTGTGTTGGAACTTTATAAACTACCAACTAACCTCATACTGTCATCTTGTGATATCTGCAATACACTAATGCGATATGGAATTACATTCTGCCAGTACCTAGATTCTGTACTTACGCTAAGTTAGCAAATGCATCAACTGCAGACAAAACCAGTTGAAGCTGTTACAGTAAGATTAAGGTAGAGAAGAATTAATTGATCATGCCCAAGCATAACCACAACCCATTAAGTTGGTAGCTGTTGATTTGAGCTGTGTCGAGAGGTGTAGTTTGAGTATTGCATGAGATATCCCAGGCAGACATACCTGGTTGTCATTTCTGATGATGACTCCATAATCCCTTTCACGGCTGCATGATTAAGAGTAGAGAGCTTTTATTAACGTCATGTACTTACTCAGTACTCCTTTCACACTAAGACTGCCACAATACCTCACGGTCAACGGAGTCGAGTACTGCCTTCAGACCAGGCAATATGACCGCGTCAGTATGTCTGTCTCCCAGATCCTTATTGGCTGGCTTGCCTTTCTTACTTAGTACCTTTATCCTGACCTAAACATTGCTAACGTGATGTTTTCACTAAATCTCGACCGGCCTTGACGTGCTGGTCGAGCTTGCATACTACGATTAAACGAGCTATGCTGATAGAACTCTGTTCCTTCGAGGTCCTACTATGCCAGAAAGATCTGTTGGATAGTGTTAAGACGAAAAGCAGCTACCGTTGTAGTGCAAATTACTACACTGACATTCTGTGGGCTAAGTCGTACTGCTGCTAGCTGGATGAGGTGTGACAGCGGTAAGGTGTTTTCCCTTGGATGAGCAGCAGCACCATGCTAGTGCTGCCTTCTCAGTGGGAGGGGGGGGTTAGGAAAGGTCGGCCCCCAAAATAACACCACCAAGCCCAATGGTCTCCCGGGAACAGCACACTTACGAATAAACGTTACAGACTACTATCGTCTTGATATTTTGTGAACAGTTCTCTTAAGATTATGACGAGCAATAATGGTTATAATTTAAATGAATATCATTCGTCCATTCAGTACAGGTTTCTGTGCATCTGTCCAGATCAATGTAGGCGTAACCAGAGTAAAACTTTAAAAAGTTTGAATGTTTATAACGGTGAGCCAGTTTAACAAAACCTGTCATAAGCGTCGCCACAAATGCATTGTGTAACGGCCCGAGTTGCTACACGTGTCGCCACATCAAGGAAACCAGCGGCAAGATGAGAATAGCAAGAAAGTAATCAGTAGTAGGAAGTCGCAAGAAGAGAACAAGAAGGAATCCAACCATGATGAAATTCAAGATGACCATCAAGATAAAGACAACGATGGGATGGATCTGCACCATTAACATCAATTCTGAACCATATCGCCTAGTCTCTAAACTTTATACCCTTTTTTGTTTGTTAGGTCTTAATAACTGTACCGTTAAATATCGCCGTTACCTTTTTAATTTCTGCCTACTATGGCTCTTTATCATTACGCGGACTCATTGGCCTCAGAACTTGTGTAAATGCATCCATCAATTCAGAAGAAGCCACTGAAATCCGCTGATGCTTCCTAACCCTTATATCGGGGTTACTTACGGTCTTAAACTGTTTTCAGAGTAGAATAAAGATGATTCCAGGGTTCTTGGGAATGAGTGACGTTCTGGCTAGACGGCTACTCGTTAAAACGACTATTAGTATTCTTACCACCTAAATGCCGTCGAAACAGTCCTGCAGATGTAGTCTTTCTATACTCATTTAGGTGCAGACATGCATGGTCACTACCTAAAAACATGCCCAAGAAGAAGCGGTAATCTCCCACTACTCTCTTCAAGTACAACTGCTAGCAACATGGTCCGTCTCTGTCTACTCTTAAGGTTAGTGAATACAAATCCAGACAGTGCTTTTCTTGATGTCTGGAGTTCGTTGTATCCAGAAATAGGTCTTCTGATCAGCTGTAGTAGGCGGTCGCCTTTATAAGTTCGTTTGAAATTGCAAACGTTTCTACCTAAATTCATTCCTGCTTGACTTAGACTAATCATTTGTGCATTGAAATCATCTATTATGATAATCACTTCTGAATGTTTTAATTTCAGTGAGCGGCTATACAGTTTCTGGTAGGACTCATCCTTCATTTCTTCTGAACATTGGTCAGTGTGTGCGTAAAAATAAAAAGACGAATTTCACTCTTCTTTTTAGACATCACTTCACCGCGGCTCACAGGCTACCGTCAGATGAGATTCGGTCGAACGGTGCATTTTCTGCTTTCAGGTGTAGTGCTGTACCTACACCTGCAAAACTATAAGACCGATTCCGCTGATACTGTAAAATGTCAGGACAGAGAGGAGTGTGCTATTTTAGAGGATAATCTTTTCCAGTCTAGCATGGTACTACTAGTCATACACAGGAAACACCTTACTGCCGTCACAGCCTTTCTCCCTCGGACCCCACCATAACGTAGACAATTACTTCTTTTTCTTGCCACCAGCCAACAAATGTGCGTAGTGTGGTAACACCTCCAGAAAAAAGTGTTCTCACCAGGATAGCTATTTGAGTGATTTATATGCAAGCCTAACTGGCATGTCATGTCCGCGCGGCTGACATGACCGTTTAAAGTGGATCTAAAGACACACTTGTCTCAGTAGAATTGCTCTCATATAGTGGGAATGATTAACCTGCAAAATCAACATAGCTCCTTGCATACAGCTGCATCGTCTCAAATTGTTACACTTCACAGAAGTACACAAAAGGTGGATAGAAGAGGAGTAATCAAAGAAGACAAAGTTGTGTGAGAGAATGAATGATCTGAAGATGAAAGCTGGTGTAAACGTTCCAGCTTTAGATGTCAAGGAGGGGATACCTCGCACCACTGTGACTGATTTTCAGCCGTGTCACCAAGACTCTCAACCACTAATTCCTTTCGTCTCGAGAACTCCAAACACGCAGTCTACATCTCCCCACACGGCTTAGGTCAACAGATTGAGACTTCATCGACTGATGCCGTATCTTTCTCTGACCACTGTGAACACTATTCCATCCGAACCCAACTTCCCCTAGCAGGTCACAAAGAAGTAGGGGGTGACCTGCCATGCACAGTACATGTCTAATCCATTTCAGCCTATGAAGGTTCACAACCTCGTCAACCGACTTGTCTAGCATCTTCCACCTGATTTCAACATTGTCCACACGGTGATTCCAACACATGCGAGCAATGCTACAAAGACACATGATCAAAAAGCTGTGACCACTTCATGTTTTCTACTCTTAACGGTCATGTCTCAGCCGTACAACTGGAAAAAATGGACTGGAGTGCAACATATTCCATAAGTATTTGGATATCTCGGGGTCATCAGAGATGCAAGTTGACAAATATCGAACGGGTATCCTGTATCATCTTTTTACACAGTATTGAGTGCTATTTACAGTGGTTTCGCTCAATTTGTGATTAGCATTAGTCATTGCGAATAAATAAATGTTAAGCGGTTTTCCACCCATCCATCCAAATCAACATAGGACCAGACATTACTGCATAGCGGTCCGAGTTGCCACAACTCATACCAGTACATCTGGTAAAAAGGCAGTGAAGTGGAAGTTGGGGAAAAGAAAATTTAGTCAAAAGAGATATAGTGTACTAAATAAGAGAAAGGAAGAATGAGAGAGTGGTTAGGCTTGGTCTAGCGTTAAGATAAGGATAATATATGTATACATCAGCGCCACTGACATCAGTTCTGATCCATATCCCCTAGAGTCAGTCTCCGACCACTGGTTCCTCTTGTCTCGTCGACCCCAACTGGCTGGTCTGCCTCTCCACACATAGCTCAAACCAACGGTCAAAGACTTCATACAATGATGCCATGTTTTAATCTGGTCGCCTCGAGCCTTTTTCCAGCCTGAACCACCTACTTCGGCCAGCATTGTGTGACGAGGCAGACGGCGATTAGGCATAGTAACACATGCCTCAACCAGCCATCTCAGTCGAGTAAGGTTCATAACCGTGTCAGCTGACTTACCTTTTCTCCCTAAAACTCTATATCTGACTTCTGTGTTACTCACGTGGTGACACCACGGAATACGGCCTATACTAGAAAGGCAACGGTGGTTAAACACCTAAAGCCTTCTCATGTCTTCCACCTTCAATGACCATGTTTCACAGCGATTGAGTAGAACAGAGCGGACTGTTGTGGAGTACACGCGACCCTAATAGACAATCGGATATGACGGTGGCGCCATAGGTGGTGTAAGTTGGCAAAAGCCAACCAAGCCTCTTGTATTTGTCCAGGGATTTCATCGGCCTCTGAGCCACCAGGTCAGGGCTGGACCTACTTCGCAGGCAAGTGAAGTGGTCGACACCCACCACTACACTCTGTTGTTAGCCGAAACACCACTTAAGACCAATTCTAGAGCAATAATTTGAATTTGGGTGGTGAGAAAAGCATCCCAAACATTCTCAAATCGTCACTCAAAGAATCCAGAAGACTCTGCATCTTGTCAGCGTCTTCACCTAACAGGACTATATCATCTGCGTATTCTAGGTCCATAGGAATATCTGTGGTAAAATTGGATAAGAATGGAGACAGTGGGCACCCTTGACGGAGACCATTCAACGAACACAGTTCCCCGGACATCTCACCATAGGCTCTAACGCGTCCACAAGTGTTCGAGTAGAGAGCCTTCAATAAGGTGATGTACGTACTCGGCACGTCTTTCAGCGAGAGACATTGCCATAATACTCCTTGATCAACGGAGTCAAATGCCACCTTCAGGTAAATAAAAACAGTTAGTGTTGGGCGTCGTTAAGCGTGTCTATGGTCCAGAACCCGGCGCAGTGTGAATATTTGGTCGATATGCCCATGACCAGGTCTAATGTCTGCCTGGTTTTCTCGGACTTGTAGTTCCCGAGCTCCACTCAGACGTAGAAGAATTATAGAACCTGGGATCTTGGACACTCTTCGTCAGGCTGATTCCTGTGTAGTTATCACAGGAGGACTTCTTGCCTTTCTTGAAGACTGGGGTTATTGGTGATTTGGATCAGTCAGAGTGGATGGTATTTGATTCCAATATACTAGTCAACACTTCCGTCAACCTGACTAAGAACACTCTACCGCCATCCTTGTATACCCCAGGAGTTAATTCGTCTGGTCCTTCTGCCCTTCCTCGTTCCAGGTTACCTACTGCTTTCTCGACTTCTGCTAGTGTTGGGGGGCCTATCTCACTGTTCCATTCAGGATCCGACTGGATAGCAGACAATGGAATGGTGGCTGGAGGCCAGTTAAACTGTTCCTCGAAGTGTTCTGCCCATCGTTCCAGTCGTCTCTGCGAGTGAGTGGCAAATCCATCCTTCTCTGCTGTAGTCTCACTAACCGTAGTTGACTTTTTCCCCTCAGTCTCCTTAATAAGTCTAAATAACTGTCTACTGTTAGCAATGGCCGCTACCTTTTCCATCTCTCTAGCCTTCGCTGCCCACCACTGTTCACGGTCGTTGCGTAGACTTTTTCTCAATCTACTTTTAAGTTGCGCTCTCTCTTCATTGTACTCAGCCTGCAGGGATGCGTTGACGTGCATCCATTAGTTCAAAAGAAGCTGCTAGTATCCACTGGCTCTTTCTAGCCACTATTCCGAAGTTGGCTACGGTCTTCAGCGCTGCTTTTACAGCAGACACGAGATGGCACCAAGCTTCTTCTGGATGAGTGATAGTCTTCTGTTCCGATAACTGCCTAGCCAACCTCTCACTGAACACGGCTTTGGTGTTTCCGTTTTCCAGCAGCATTCGTAGTGGTTTTGTTGCCAAATTTTTTCTACGTCCATTGAGACGCAGGCATATACGCACTTGGACCAACGCGTGGTCGCTATCCAAGTACATACTCCAGAAGGAGCGGCAGTCATCCAACGATCCTCTCTAGCGATGGCTGATAGCAGTGTGGTCTATTTGTGTCCATCGCTGAGTTGAGCTTGGTGGACGTCACATCAGACAGTGTCTTTCTTTGTGTCTGAAATTTGTTTTTAGGTAAAAATAAGCGGTTACCTACTCACAGTTGTATTAGGCGATCACCGTTATCTGTTCATTCAGCCAGGATTCCGAAAGTGCCACTTAAGTGTCTTTCTGCCTGACTCAGTCTACCCACCCCGCACATTGAAATCACCTGCAACAACCACCACCTCTGAGCCTTTGGCTTTCGAGAGGAGGCTAGACAGTTTTCGGTAAAACTCGTCATTCACTTCATCCGAGCTGCAGTCAGTGGTGGGTGCGTAAGCAGAAATTACGAAGAAACAATGGCGAGTTTCACTATTCCTTTTAGTTCTCACTGTGCCTTTCAGTCGGATAGTGCAGAGGCGACTATTAACTGGGATCCAGTCTAGAAGTGACTTTTCTGCCCTAATGCTTGTTATGCCTACACCTGCAAGACCGCGAGAGCTAGCCATCAAATGTCCAGAAACCCACAGGGTGAATTTTGCGGATTCACCAGATTGGTCGGGAGAGGTAAGGTGAATAACTGCACTTGGGTCATGTATGCGTGTCTTACAAACACGGTACACATCTATGGTCTGAGTTGCTAGAGTTTTGGTCAATGAAGCCTGTTGACCAATTTGACAGAGGGTGTGGACATTGAAGTCCCCGAGGTGTAATTTGTAGCTTGGTTTTAAAGGAGACCAAGGATGCTGTCCTGTGGATTCAGATCATTGTCTACGGCTGCAGGGCTAGGAGAAATTGAAGATGATGTAGTATCGTTAATTGAGAGAAAATTAGAAGATAATGATGGGGAAAGTGGATAGCAGTTGAAGAAACCTTGAATGCTGACAGAGGGGTGGTTGTCACTTCTCTGCTACCCACACCGTGAAAGGCTATTCTTAAAATATCTGAAAGAGATTTGTGCGACCACAGAGCCATCGGACATCTGCTTGAAGCCTGTCATACGCAGCCTTTTGTATATGGTTGTTTTGGGGGTGACTGGCCGAAAAGAAAGGATAAATGAACCGATACCGCCGGTCTGGCATACCGTGGGGTATGGTGGAGTGTGTTATTTTTGAACCGACTTTTTCTAACCCCCCCTTTTCGCTGAGAAGGCAGCATCAGCATGGCGCTGCAGCTCATCCAAGGGAAACACCTTACTACTGTCACACCCGATCCAGCTAGCAGCTGTGCGACTTCGCGCTCATAGTGTAGTAATTTACACGACAACGGTAACTGCCTTTCGTCTAAGCACTATCCAACAGACCTTTCTGATATGATAGGACCTTGAAGGAACAAGTGTTCCACCAGCGTAGCTCGTTGGGTCGTTGTGATATTCAAGCTCGACCACCACGTCAAGGCAGCAGGTATCGGTCAAGTGTAGTTTATAAAAAGATACAGTCACATCAACCCCTTTAAGTGATGGGACCACATATTTTGTAATTGCGATTCAAGTTACCATTCCACTTCGAGCGAATCTTTGAATTTCAGAAAATTAACTACATTTCGGTGTGATAAGTTTTTGAATTGAGGCTCAAGAGCTTTCACCCAAACTTTCAAGCTATTCACTTTCATTTTTTTATTGTTCCAACAAATATGGACCTGGTATCAAACAGATGTCATGCCATTTCTTCATTTTAGACACACGAAGCTGTTAACAACGCTAAAAAGCTACTCGATTTCTCCCAAGACGTCGTTCAGATACCTAGGTGCTATGTGGGTCCCATCCTAGGATCGGGTCGCCGTCATGTTCAGCATATTGTTGATAGGGTGGGGTTAGTCGGAATCAAGATTTCTAAATCACCCGAAGAGGATCATGAACATGTTTCATTTCAATTAACAGGCACCCAACAGGCTATACGCGACACTCAGTTGTTTTTGGAATTTCAAGTCTCAAGCCTGCAAGAGTTGGATCGGCTTCGGGGTGTTGAAGATCCACCGTCTATATTGAAACCCAAGGACGTGGCCACACTTAGCGACATGCAAAGGTAACTTTAATGTCAACAGTATATTTCTCTCAGTAAATAAATCTCATTAGTTCTCACGTAGATATGGAATTTATATGTTGTGATTAGATTTCCGTCATAATGTTTTGTCATTTGGGTTATTTCATGAAGACTTTAGATCGTTGTTTGTTATCGTATTTATTTCATAGAGACTGTTTTCCAATGTAGGGTGTTAACTTGGGTATCTAGTTCATTACTATGGAGCTCTTAGCGCCGAATAACTACTAACGTCACATTTTCTACAACCAACTTTAATCAGTTTAGTCCTCATAGACAGTGACACTCAGTGACTTGAGGCGTTGTTTCACAAGATCTGCAGTTGAAACTAGTGGTGGCTTTCATGTAGTTTTCTTTTTTATCGTAAAAATACTAAAGCAAGTATATTAGCTGGGTATGACCGATCCGAAGTAGCTATCTCTTGGGATCTGCTGTCAGGCAATTCTACTTCTTTTTCGCTCTCACATTGAAGAAACAGCTTCCACGGTGCTGGCGACGGGAAATTGTTAATTACCCCAATCGCCACCGGTAGTATACAAAACCTAATCAAATTTAATCTACCCTTATATTTGTCTCCTCGATAGCCTTCATCTCCTGATAACTATTAGACCTCGTGAAACCTCAACCTCACTTTTTGACCATAGGCTTGCGCCAATCTTGCAGCAGTAATCTGCACTTTGATAGTGCAGAACACACCATATTTATGGACAATGATCGCCAACTGATTGGATGCTGTTTGTAGTCTACATGTTATCGCACAGTAGAATGATATCTTCCACACGCTCGAAATTGAAAAGCTTCACCTGTAAACAAGTCTACTGTATCACCCCGTCCATTTCTTTCGGGATTGTCTCTAGAATTCCATTGATGACAAAGTTGGAGAGTGATGAAATTGGTCAACCCTACCTACCATAGGTTTGGAAAAATGGAGATAGGTGACTGTGTACCGTTGCTTTAACTGGGATGTTTAAGTATAGGACTTTCAAGATGTTAACAAACTTCTCAGTAAAATACGATAGCAGACGATTTCAGAGTACAACCCTATCTAACGAATCGACGGCATTTCTAATATCGGGGAATACGAGGATCGTTGATCTGGATTACGAGTTATGTTGTTGGAACTTCTGATCGGAGGTGAACAAATAATCAGTACATCCGGCACCCGAACGAGACCCACTCTGCTCCTTGCACATATGATACCCATGCGTTTTGCAGACCTGTAAATTGTGATAGTAGCAAACAATTAAGCCGTTACCAGTAACTCAGGTATCCTGATGTTTATCGTGCATATTACTCAGATCCTTTTTGAGGATGGATACAACAGTGGATTCATTCTGGAATGACAGAATACTCAGTCTGCCATACCTTTTCAAACATCATAGTCAGTTTCTTGACTACAGTTTCACCTCCATCCTTAGAAAGGAGTAGGTTATTTGGACCTGTGCTTTAATACTTAGTGTTATTTACCTCTGCTTCGTTAGGTGAACGTGTCCTAACTGTCGATAAGGTTGATATTGCTTAAGCAGTAGTTGAGATAAGATGTTTTTTCACTGTTCCATCCAGCTTTTCAAGTGTCTGCGTAAGTTGGCGGTTGGCATACCATTTTCTTCACAAACCGTCTTACTAACGCCAGCCTTCTTGATGCTTGTGGCTCAGATGAGCTGACAGGTGCTGCAGGTGTGATAGTTCTCAATACTCTCACTCTATCAAAAGCTTTGCTTGCTTTGCTTTGCATGCATTGTCTCAATCACGCTTTAATGTGGGATGGGGCGACAGTTCTTAAATCCAGTATAGCCAGATGCAGGGGGAAATTAGTTCCAAAATCTTTGTTCATTGATTCAAGACCTAACACATGTGCCGGATATGATTCATCAAATATTTTCAGTTATTTCGAAAATTTTACTACCATTAGAACAAAAAATTAAGAACTTCTAGACTAAATAAGTGAAGTTTGAAAGTCATGCGGTTATTTTGATATGATTATTAGCCATAAATTCTGTTCGAGACGTCATCCAGTAAGTGGTACTATTTCACCGTGTTCCATATCGAATAAACAATGTACTATGGAAGTGTTTTTCACAATTTTTCCAGTGGGTTATCCGCTGTGTATTAAATACTATTCTTTTCTATCTCAATTGTATTTTTATCGGCAAGGTAGATTAACATAGACATATGGTATTCATTCTTGACATCATGGAGGAATTAGTTAATAAAATGTGCGATGTATAATTTTGACTAATGAATTCGTGTAATTTCGTGCGTATTCGTTTAATGATAAGTACTCCACATTACCCTTTTCTATTACTTAAATTGCAGTAATGATGAGTCTTTGGATTCTCCTACTCATCGTGAAAATGGTCACATGTCACACAAAGTTGGCAGCGATTGTACTCATGATGTGAACTCAAACGGATCTCCACATAGAGAGGATTATGAGAAGAATGAAGCTGTACATAACAACCATTTGAATTCTTGCCCTCACCCTAGAGGTCGTCAACCACGGTCTCGACCTACAGTCAAACATAATGCGAACTCCAGACAGGGTATGTTTCTAGCAAAATAATGATAGTCGAGCTCCGAATGTGAGAAGTATAAATTAATATGTTTCGGATCTCCCCTTTTTTTGTTTGTGTTCTTTACTTTGATTTGGATAGCCTAATAAGGCCTCAAACGTTGAGTGTGACTGGAATTCTAGATTACTTCCAAATTACGACACAACAAGTCTAAACAGTATGGGACACGTGTATAGTTTATTTTCGGAACTGCACTTTTGATAACCATCAAGTCCCAGGGTTTTTAGTCGTACATATAGTATCCTACTTGATGCTAAATGACAGTTGAAGATTACATAGGCTTTTTAATTTTTTTCATTTTAATGTTTTACCCTTTCTGTTTTTCATCTCATTGCATCTAGAAAACTGTAGTAAGACGAACTGTTCCACTGCATCTCTTCATGTGTTTTCTAATGTTTGATGAGTAGGCTGCGAGGAATATAGGATGCCTTATTTATATCTTGTTTGCTTTCAATGATTAGCTAGTGAGATATGACAAGATTACTAAGTTGTTCTCAAAGTTTCTTTAGTTTCATTTCGTTATTTCCTATTTATTTATATATCGGCTTTAACTTTAGATTCACGTCAAATTCCGCATAATCAACATGGCGGTAATGGAATCATTCAGGATTTTGGAGGTGATCACTCAAACTTTCCTAAGTATGCAGCGAACCGTGTGAACCCCAAGAACCTTAATCACCAAAGGAATCATCAACCAATACATCGTCAAAATTCTACTGGAACCCGAGGTCAAAATATGTGTGCCCCTATGGTTAGCTGAATAATCTCTTTCGATCAAAAGAAAATTTCTCACATGCGACTCATGTTTCCAATCAGTATCCGCTTTTACCTCTGCTTCAACGATCCTGAGATCACATCTAATCAGTGTTTGTTCATTTCAGTCCTATTCTCTATGCTACTTCATATTCTCTGTGTAAAGGAGTTTGGATAACTGAGAGTCTGTTGAGGTGTGATCTCTTACTAATGTTCATCCTTTTATTCTTTAATGCCCAACTTTTGTTGCCTTTTCCCTCCTGGTGATAATCAGTTATTTCCCTAAACAGTCATAATTGTTAACCATGTATTGTACATTGTTTCCATTATAGTATCTGAAATCACCAGAAAATGAACTATCACTTGCTTGATTACTTCACAGTATTAGTAAATAACTTTACTCTGAACTTGTGTCACATTTCAGCTTAATACCTCAATTTAATGTACAAATTACAAGTTATTTGACAGGATACACTGGAATACGTAGTTTGCATGATACTTTTTTTTTTTTAGTGCATTCATCATATACTTGATGTTTATTTGTTTGCAGTTAGGAGCAAAGAGCAATTAGTTTATACATAGGAGGTTGAATATTGTTATGGTGTTGAATTGCCAACAGCTTTATTTATTTTAGATTTAAGTGAGAAATGCATGCACAACATTCATGGCTACTTTGATTGATTCGAGAGCATATGACCTAATAAATGTAATTTTTCTCTAGAAATCTGTTTTCAGAAATAACAATCACTCGTCGTAATGTTTTGGTCTAATTGGATATTTTTTTTAGGAGTCTGTCTGTCTGTAGAGACTTTTTCATTTATGCAACACATTACGTTCGGTCAATGTCTGTGAAATATTTCTTGATGAATAGACTGTCTATGCCAGTTATTGGTCGTGGTTATATGTGAGTCAGCTGACGGTAATCGTGTTTGACACAAGGTATGGTATGTTATTGAGAATAATTCGTTTATGAGAAAAATCGATTGAACTGTGTAGAATTTTATAAATTATTGAATGGTAACGTTTGGTTTCTCATTTGATTTCATAAATGATAATGCCAACATCTTGATTTTCATGAAAACTCCTATATTGTGGATTATAGGATGTGATCTCTACATTCTGTCAATAGTTACCTGGTGAGTCCAAGTATGACTACAAATGACTCAGTTACAGTACAAATTGGTTTTCGCATAGAATTTCATTGCTCAAATAACATGCCCATGAATTCGTTCCCAAGCCAAAATATATCGATATAAGAATAATTTACATAACTGGTTTGTCATCCTTTCAATATAATCTTCCAAGTGGTTTTTATTTTCCTACTTTTCACTTCATAGCCTGAATCAAAATCAATTCAAACAATCTTGAGAAGCACTTCCAACTTGATGAACTCGCTTCATAGCGCCGATTAAACTTGAGAGTTTGAAATGTTAGCTGCATTATTTTAAGCTTTGTCTATTTAATGCACAAACCTGCATATAGTTGCTTGACTGTTGAAATAAAGTGAGCTAGGACATAGTCCTGTTCCTACTGCTTGTAGAACTGTGAAGTCTATTGTACAACCTATCTCAGGTACAACTTGACCATCTTGAACATGTGAAATACTTTGATCCTTATTTTCATTACTCGTAATCTCGATTGAAGTAAAGCTGTCTATATTGCTATAGAAGTATCTATTCTCATCAATCTAACGTTGTACTATTATTATAAACATCCAGTCCATAGTGATTGCAGCTGTCGAGTGTAAGTTAATCATTACATAAGTAAGTTGTAATATAAACTCAGTGTGTTTTAAAAAGTCAAAACAAGGTTTTTCTGGACATTTCGCTGCGTGCCACAGCTTCCGCAGCGGAGTTTGTACTGTCTGAAACAAGTTTTCTCACTTAGTCATATGCTTGGAAGGTATATATGAGGGTCCTCAGGAAAAAAGTATTACCCATGTAGCCAATGTTTATATGATAAAGCGTTCAGTTCAGAGTTATTTAGGAGATGACTATTCGGGCACACATCACGAATCAATGCAATATGATGATGGTGATTTGGTTTGTCACTGAATTGGTTAAAATATCCCAACCTCAAAAGTATCTCATTGTAGTATGAACTTTAATTCAGCTAATTTTGTAAAGAAGCATTCAGCTAATACAAAGATTCATTTCGAAAAATCGAATCGAAACGGGCTCAGCATCCTTGTGCACATTTGTAGGCAATGAGCCATATCTTTTATGTGAAAGCTGATGAACTAGCTAGTTGCTCAAACCTGGGTAGTTGGAACCCGTGACCTATTTGGTTGATAATCATAAGTTCATATGCCCTTAATAGAAAAATGTGGAATTACGGTTCTCACTGAATTACTTAGCAGCTACAAAAGTAATATACATGAACATAAAGATAATTTTAGTCCGGGAAAGTTCACTTTTCAATTGCGATGTATATACTTTCATTGTATTGTAAAAGTTCCACCTAATGTTGTGTCCAGTACCCCACTACTTCAGAAGACCCTCACATTTGTTACACTTGAGTATTCGTGTAAAAGGTATATTTTGTGAAGGCCACTCCCCCCCCTCATTGGTTGTGCTAGATAATATTAGTGAAGAAAATATGAAATATAGCAAAACCGAGGGTTTTTATACGACAGTGTTGGGAGTGTTAAATTTCATGAGAAGTATTCGGCTCAAGGTGGGTAGTGTTTGAGAAGTTATTCACTTCATTAATACAGGATTCCATCAGTTTGATTGTACATGCCACTGTATACATAGATGATTTCAGAAGATTGCAAGTAATTAAAAGTTTAAGAACAGATGTGGTTACGTATTTTAGCAGTGGTGTAGGCAGAACATTTATTTTACACAGTGTAATAAGGTAACAATTATCTGAGAAAGGTGGTGTATTCATGAGATACATTCCGAACAATTTGGTCACACATTAACTCGTCACAGCATTTTATAAGAAGGGGTAAAATAAATAGATAGATAATACAAATTTTGGAAAATATGAGGATACTAAGAAGGAATAATGCATTTTCATACTTCCTTTGGCATTAAAATTAGATAGAGGTTACCGTCTTCTTATTACACTGTGTGAATTCATCAAAGGGACTAATTGTTTCAGAATATTTAGTACCATCGTACGACCAGTTATAAAATCCGTGTCCATGACATACGCTTTGTAGAGTAGACCTGGGTAATATTCACAGGTGTTAGATTTATTGCTACGCAAAAGAAGCGGATCTATTAAGTCCCTATCAAACAAGACGTTCTATTGAATGCCAACTATGATTACTTGATTTGAACCAAATGGTTTGTTAAAACTATGATCACATAAATATTAGCGTTCATGAGGGATTTTAATTGGCAATGGTTTTGTTCTCTTATTGAAGAAGTATTGTAGTATTCGTTGCTGATAAGAGTGGATATAAGTAGTATATGTTGAGAGGGTGGCAGAAATCAGGGAATTACTAACAATAGGTAAGGATTCAGCCAAGAGAAATGCAAGAGACAATGCAGGTGTATGAAGAGCAAATCAGAAGAGGAAATGAAACACATTTTGCAAATGACGGTTTTAGTGCAAAGTGTACCATATATAACGACTACTGTCCCACTTGTTGACAAAAGGCATTCCTTCCTGCATACCTGTCTTTGCTTCTTTCAGTATGAAGTCATTTCACTGGAAACAGTTGACTTTTAAAGATGTTCGTACTGAGACTTTCATGCAATGCTTCACAAAACTGGGTAGTATTTCTGCAAATGATAATCAGTCTGATTGCTTTCTTAATGATATACTTCTTTATTTACAACTGCGAAGTAATATTTTCTCATTCACATTTAACATTCAACCATTTAACAGTTTCTCTATTATGATTCAACGAACACTAAATCTTGTGAATATCTAAACACTGTGAAATACATGCTTAATCGAACCCATCTATCTTAAACAGTTGGAGAAATAAGGTTTTGTTTCCGCTCCAATCTTGATTTTTATACGCGAAAACATAAAACTCCCATAGACATGGTTATATGGGTCCACCAGGATAAAAAATGTCAAAGTTACTCAAAATGTGATAACTGTTGACTGGTTTCAATGTATCAATGATGGATATCAATATATGGATAAATGTTGGCAGGACTTTATTTTTCTCTTCGTTTAATTCTAATAATTGTAAAACTAACAATGGAAAGATAAATCTAACAAACTTTTAGTTCATATACTCCTATATAGTATCTTATTAAGTCTATTTGGAGGTTTAATAATTGATTTTAGGTTGAAATTCGCCATAGACTGACATCAGTTGGCGAAACATTGGAGACCTCAGAGCATTGGATATCTGCTTCGTCGTAGTATTGAGACTTAGCAGTGCGGATCCATGACCCCGCCTAGCCAGGAAGTCGAACCCAGGTTTCGTGGCCAGCACGTTACCATTGAGTCACTGGGTTGGGATCCAATGGTCCATATTTCCTACTTCTGTTAGTTCACAATATAGAGCGACCTACATCCAATGTCATCGTTGAGTAACTGTCCTCATGTGCTCACTGCTGTGGAGTTCCTACAAGTAGGACGAAACAGCTGTCCAATACTCCCAGGTTTCCAGCGTTCCTCCAACTGATGTCAGTCCATGATGAATTCTAATCTGGTATCTTAATAAATGTTTATGATGAACATAAGTCCAACGAAAACTATATTATTCAAACATCACTTGGCTTATCACATTTCATCAAAAAGAAAAAAAGTTTTTTCGTATAATCTTTCTTTTTCGCTAAACAAAGTCTTCTACAGTTGATAAGAACTCAGGCAAGGCTTTGCGGTCATCTGATCAACTTAGCCTTTTAAAGCTACAATCGGTTGTGATCTTTTATGCAGTATTGTTACTAAACTACAACTTTGTACTTTCCAGTCTAATGCCACTTAAATGTTCAGTGTATGCTAAACGATTTCATTCAATTTCTTTGTATCAGCTACTGAGTTACAGCTTCAGACGTATACCATGACATCGTGCACATCAAATACCTAGCATAAGATCTACTAATATACAAAATAACAATGTCGAGATAAAGTTTCTCAATAATTTCATTCTAAGTAAAAAGCTGTTTCTGTGACCATTCATAATCATGCAGTAATGTTTCAGAACTTCACTTTGACAATATTTTTCAGAGTTGGCAATAAAAGTATTACAATCAGTTCGACGCGTATTAATTAGCCTTTAAAAGCACAATATGTGACATTTTCAGCTTCGATCGATTTTTAAAATGGTGCGTGTTATCTGTACAAACCTATCAGTGGTTACCTCAGAGGTAGCTTGTTGTTGAAATTAACTCTCCATTATGTAATGACCTAGTTACGATAGGAAATACTGACCGCTCAAGCCCAGCCTAGTATCTAGAAGGCTGCAATTTGTATTCCTACCAAAACTGATGGTTGGTTAGATGTATGGTTGGTATGTCTGTCTCTAACTGGCTTGAGAAGATTACAGCAACAAGAACATTTTGAACGTAGCTCGATGAGAAACTGGCTAGGCAATTATTGAAACAAGATAATGCCACTGATCCTGAAGAAACCTAGTGTCAGCTTTAGCATGCTGTAAGAACAGCATAAATGGCCGTAACTGGGTGTCAGAAACATGATAGAAAGCGTCAGTGGATTTCGACGATTCCTGAATCACTTAAAATGTTGACTAACCAGAAGCTTAAACAATGATCGCCAGTAGTGGCTGATAGCGAAGGCTAAGCAGATGGAAAAGTCTAGGCGGTAGGTAACGGTAAACGGTTATTTAGATTAATCAAGGAAAGTGGGGCAAAAATGTCAGTGGTTAGTGAGTCGACATTGGAAAAGGATGGGTCTGTGATCCACTTACAGGATAGACGACTGTAGTGGTGTGTGGGACATTTTGAAGGATAATTCAACTGGCTACTATTCCGTTGTCTGTGATCCAGTCGGATCCTGCATGGAACATTGAGAAGGTCTTCGACTTTTGTCGAAGTTAAGAAGGCTGTGAGTAACATGGGATGAAGAAGGGCAGCAAGATCAGATGGACTAATACCGGAGATATTTAACCGTGGTGGTGGTGAATTATTGGTTGGGTTAGCTTAAGTGTTAGCTAGCGAATGTGAATCAGATATTGTTCCCTCTATCTGGTCTCCATCATCGTTTTTCCTAGTCTTCAAGTAACGAGAGAAATTCTGATAACCTCTGGGGATGACCATTGTCTCTAAAATCCTGAGTATTATTGTTATTAAACGTCTAATGGGATTTCCGAAACAGCCAAGCCCAGAAATTCAGGCAGGTTTCAGATATGGTCTTGGCTGTGTTGACTGGATATTCACCCTCCAGTTGTATTTCTCAACCTGAAGACGACATTCAGTTCTGTCGATCCGAAGGTTTCTCACTGCAGGCGATTCAAGATAAGTATATCACACTGTATTTTAACACCCGTAACTTAGTTAAAGCCTACGGTCAAGTACCCGGGGAGTTGCGTACATTGAGTGGTGTCCACTTTCTCCGTTTTAATTCAGTCTTGCTCTGCATGAACTTGCAGCGGTATCCCTCCTCTCTTCCAAATTTACGGAGATTGACATTGTTACAAAAGACTACCTAGTGGATTTGAAATACACAGATAACGTAGTCATGTTAGGAGGCTAACAAGATGCAGAGTCTACTAGTCGCCTTGAGTGGTGATTTAAGAGTGTTCATATT